CCCCACCCCCAATACCACCTGAAATACACACACGTGTGGATCGTGTAGATCGATACTCCTCCCCCTTCTGTGTGTGTGTGTGTGTGCAGTGTGTGTGTGTGTGTGTGTGTGCAGGGCTCAGATCCACACTCCCATCGTGAATGGGCGGCCCTCGCCTCGCTTTTTCCGGCCACCCGTGGAACAGGAACAGCAGCTGCCTGGGTACACACAGTTCTGCGGGTCGCCAGAGCAGATGCTCCACTTGTACCGCCGGCCACAGCTCTGACCGACGACTGGATAAGGTCGGTGGGCCCCCTCTTGAGGAGTGAGGGGTGGGAGATGTGGGGGGCAGACGGCCAGGTGTCTCGCGGGGATCGTCTAAATCGTTACCTACATTTTGTATTCGGCCGAGACATATCTCTACGGCATCGCGGCACGCCACCTTGCCCAAGAGATTACTTGAAGGGGTGGTGACGATGGAGCACAACAACCCAGCAGCCGAGGCCATCTGGCTGGGGGAGAGGTCGGTCGTCTTCAACTATGCCGTCACCATTCACAACGTGCTGCGATCGGAGAGGTGGCAGCACTACCTCGGGCGGCTGGAGGCGTGGGCTGACAAGTCCAACGTCCAGCCCACGACGGCGCCACTGACGCCTCCATGAAGGCCTACGCCAAGGGCCCCGGCTGGTACCGCAGCATGCAGGACGCGCTCACCTGCCTCAGCTGGCGCGACACCTTCCACCGCATCTCTGAGCGAAGTGGCCATCCTAAGATGGAGGACGGAAGGCGGCACTTGCACGACCGCACCAAAGAGGAGGGCTGTGGTGGCTCGGAGACGTCATCCGGCGTCTGGAAGCCATCTGCGCGGCGGCACTGCAGTTCCTCCCCTCCGAACGGTGCACACTGGGCGACATTGAAGGCGCCCTGTCAGCCGCCATCGATGACCTCCAAGCCGCCAAGGCCATCATCGAGGCCGGCATTCCGCAAGCGGCGAGCCGAGCCGCCGCGCCCTCGCTGCCATCCACAGCTGCGTCACCCGACCAGCCCCTCGCCGTGCCACCCTCATCTGAGGCGGCGTCCCCCCTGGCGCCTTTTGCTCCGTTTCCTCGGCTACCCCAAGTATCTAGACGGGGCACACGATGACCGAATATGGGAGGGAGAGAGGCCACACAGAACTGGTCTGGGTGCCTGTCTGTCTGCCTTTGGCTTTAATGTCAGGATATTGCTGTCTGCATTTTATATTCGACGGAGACATAACCTGATGGAGAGGCGGCAGTTTCTCGCAGGTAGGTGTAGGCAGTGCAGCTCGGCGTGTGCTGCGCCCTACGAGACCCCACTGCACACCTTCTACGCATACGTATACCCCGCGATGGTAGGTCACCCACCCACAGTGCATCCTTTGGATGCATCAATTGCCTTGCATTGATCTGCGCGTGTGTGACCATATGTATGCAGCGGACGGTGGGCGGGCGGGCTGGATCCGACTCCGGCGCGACGTCGGGCGGGCAGGCAGTCAGTCTGTCGGCCGAACTGCACTCCCGCCCGGTGGCCGTGGCTGGATATGCAGTCAGTCTGCTTTTTGAGGCAGAGCGGATCCGACTTCTTCTACTCCCAGGGTACAGGTGGCGGGCCGCGAGTGCTCGACATGTGGGCATTGAAGCGCGACGACACCGTATCCGGCTACGGCATACCGAATGCATGTCCGTACGACGAGGACAGTGGGGAGAGGGGGGTGAGGGGCAGGGTGCTCTGTGTGAGGGTAAGAGGGGCGATAAGGCTGGGAGGGAGGGAGGGAGACAAGGGCATCGCAGACACGCAGAGAGCCCTCGGTGGGTACACACACACACACAACGCGCATTGACAAGCCTCCCTGTCGGTCCATCAATCATTGACTGACTGCAGGGGTGGAAAGCTTCGGCATCATCCTCCCGCAGCGCTACATCCGTCAGCTCCTGAGGGACGGCCTGTTCCAAATGGTGAGTGAAACAAACGCACCTGAGGCAATCGTCAATGAGCTGCATCTTTGTTTGTTGCCTTGACTTGTGTGTGGCATCCCTGCAGAGGGTGTGTGAGATTTGCGCTTTGCTGCTCCAGCAGAACCTGTCTGCCGGGCCGCTGCAGACGGCACTGGAGATCCGCACCCGCGCATCGGAGAGCCGCTCATCTAAGGATCAGGAGGACACCGACAGGGAGGACACGGACAAGGAGGAGATCGACAAGGAGGAGATCGACCGCATTGTGCACGAGAAGGCCCACGAGGCGGCACTCGCTGTGAAAGAACTCCTCCTCAGCCGCAGTAGGCACGCCTCTAGCGAGACAGAATGGGTGGAGGAATGCGCCCCTTCCATGTGTGTGTGTATGTGTGCGTGTGTGCAGCGGCTGAGGCCCGCCGACTGGCAAGCGCCACACCACACCACACACACCGGCATCCACCGACCGTGTGTCATGCCACACACTTCTTCCTTTGTCTGTCTGTGTCTGTGTGTGCCAGGCCAAAATAAAGGACTCGGGACTCAACCTGCAGCAGACGCTCGAACGCCTCGGCGGCGTGGCGCGACGAATGCACGACATGCCGCTGGTCCAGGAGATCCGTATGATCAGCCGTGCCCGCGACTTCCTGGAGCGGATGGCCCAGCACCCCCAAGCCCGACAGGTAAGGGGTCGATGGGAGAGTGGCCGACGGACAGACACCCAGATGGCTGATTGGTGTCTCCCTCTCCCCTTTGTATGCAGGAGCGTCGGCTGACGATGCACGCAGACGTTATCCAGCTCTTCAACAACATCGGAGTCAGCCAACAGCGCACAGCACACACATCCAGTCTCCTCTCGGCACGTGTCTCTCTCCTGTGCCGTCATGCAGATTGAGAAGACCCCCACGACCCTCGATGACGTACGAGCCTCCCTGACCTACGCCAACAAAGTACTGGACCACTACAAGAAAGAACAGGTCAGCAGTTGTCGATTCGCCACACACGCAGGCACACCGAACACATCACATGCCTTGCCGCTCTTGCCATCAGGCCAGGCGGTGCCAGGCGCTCAAGAGGCGCCAGGAGGATTTGCAGCGACAAATTTCCGGTCAGTTCATGTATGTCTGCAGCTGTACCACACCATGTCGTTCTCTGTCTTGCCTGCTTCTGACATGCAGAGGTTGAGCAGGAGCTGCGATCCCTGTCGTTGGAGGAGCGAGATGCCCGCATCGAGCTCCGCAAGTTGGAGTCGAAACTCCCAAAGTGATCGAACAACCCCCACATCATACTAATACTACAGGTATGGTGCGTGTATTCCAATGCATTGCGTGCCACAGCATGCCACATGCATGTGTGTGTGTGTGTTGTGTGTGTCGCTCTGCCTGCCTGCCAGGTGGATGAGGAACAGCAGCTTCCTGGGCACACGCAGTTCTGCGGGTCGCCAGAGCAGATGCTCCATTTGTACCGCCGGAACGACCTCGCCAAAGACTGGTGCAAGTGGATTGGCCCCTTTTGGGAGGAGGAGCGGGAGGTGCGGGGGGCAGACGGCCAGATGTGCCGTCAGCACATCGGCGCGATGGCGAATGCTGCACTGGCCGAGCTGCATGCCGACGGGGTGGCGACCATGGAGCGCAACAACCCAGCAGCCGAGGCCATCTGGATGGGGGAAAGGTCGGTGGTCTTCAACTATGCCGTCACCCTCCACAACGTGCTGCTGTCGGAGAGGTGGGAGCAGTACCTCGGGCGGCTGGGGGCGTGGGCTGACAAGTTCAACCTCCAGCCCCACGACGGTGCCACTGAGGAGCAGAAGAAGGACTACGCCAAGGGCCCCGGCTTGTACCGCAGCATGCAAGACGCACTCACGAGCCTCAGCTGGCGGGACACCTTCGACCGCATCTCTGAGCCAAGTGGCCATCCCAAGATGGAGGACGGAAGGCGGCACTTGCACGACCGCACCAAGGAGGAGGGGCTGTGGTGGCTCGGAGACGTCATCCGGCGTCTGGAAGCCATCTGCGCGGCGGCACTGCGGTTCCTCCCCTCCGAACGGTGCACACTGGGCGACATGGAAGCCGACCTGTCAGCCGCCATCGACGACCTGGAAGGCGCCAAGGCCATCATCGAGTCCGGCATTCCGCCCGCGGGGAGCCCAGCCGCCGCGCCCTCGCTGCCATCGACAGCTGCGTCACCCGACCAGCCCCTCGCAGCGCCGCCCCCATCCAAGGCGTGGTCCCTTCTGGCGCCGTTGGTGCCCTTCCTCGGCCTCCCCACCGACAGAGAAGACGGCGAGGCCGATGCCGACATGTTTGAGTATGGGAGAGGCAGAGGACGAGACCCTGTTCGTGCGGGAGGTTAACGCAGACGAGGACGAGGCCACAGAGTATGGATACAGACGCACAGACGCACATACATTCACATGTCCTGTATTTATGTGTTGGCAACAGCAACACTGTTCTCCCAACAATCACACCCAAGGCCATCAAAAGCTCGAAGCCACCCAAGAAATGAGTACGGTGAGTGAGCATCGTATAACTTCTAATCCATTGTTGTTTGCTTATGCCTGCTTATGCCAACAGCAACTGGCGGGACGAAGATGAGATTCATGCAGTGCTTAGTATTGGTTAGTGTTTGTTCGCAAGACGAGAGACATGAGGTTAGACAGCAGTGTGTGTCAGGTTGTGCGAAGAAGGCCGAGATGGGAGAATGCGATTGCAGCAATCAATCGCTGCTTACATTTTATATTCCGATGGCTGGGACCGCGAATTGACGTGTACTTGCTAGTCAGTGTGGTTGCATTGGACAAGTACTCATTCACTCATAATCCATTCATCAGAAATGATGGAATGCGTCGCCATGAATGTGAGACATGAGGTTAGACAGACAGGCATCACTGGGACGCGGCTGCGAACTGACTGAGCAGTGCCGCCCCCTTCGATATCACCAGACCCACACCACCTGCACACAGATACGCACACAGAGGACGCCAGACACATTCATGCCACTGTGGGCCGGATCACGATACCGGCGTTGATGTCATTCATTCTGTGACCTGCTTGTGTCTGTGGAGCTGCCTTGTAGTCGATGGCCGGCTCAGCCTGCCCGCCGACGTACACCTGAATGTCTGTGGTCGTGTCCTTGACAGTCAGCTCATACACCACGGAGGGAACCACAGACACCTGCAGAGCAGCCAACCGTACATATCTATCTTGTTGCCATGTGTGCTTGTGGCCGGCCGCTCTGACTGACTTGTTGCGTGGCGACTGTGCTGGAGGGATATCCCGCTCTCTCGTGTGTCAGTACCACACTGCTCGGCTCACTCGTGTTGAGCTGCACTGTGTACCTGAACGTCACACACACACACACACACAGATACACACATACACACGCGCTCATAAATCAGTGTGTGCTCACTCACATGTCGTTTGGCGTGCGTCTGAAGGCGATGCCGGCCGTGCTGTCTTGCTCCAGCGTGACGGCTGCGGTGTACACGCCCGACAGTCATGGCGGTGGCCTCTGTCTTGGTGGTGAGTTGGCACATGCCGCTCTTGGCCGTTAGTTGCAACCAAGTCTGTCTGGTGGGGCTCTCCCAATCGTCCAGACGGGGCCGTCGCGAACCCACTGAAGATATACACACACGCCATGGATTGTCTCTCTCTCTCTCTCTCTCTCTCCCTCTGTGGGTGTCTTGTCATCACCTGGTAGTCGCATCCGGGCTGTCTCTCCTGTCTAGGCGCCACTTGTGGTTCAGCGGCTGGGGGGGCGGGGCCGCGAAGGGCGAGAGTGGACGATGGGCGGCTGGGGAGGCCGACCTGTGGTGTCTCGCCAGTTGGGCGGGGTGTCTCTTGGAAGGTGTAGTCGGTGGCGGCGAATGGGGGCACGGGCACTGTCTCGTCGTCCTCCTCTTCTGCTGCTGCCGCTTGTGGTGCCTGTGCTGGGGGCGATGGCTCATGGTGTGGAGTAACAGGCGCCTCTCGCACAATTGCAGCCTTGGCCGCCGTGCCACCATTCAACACATGCGCCTGACATAGCCACACACAGAAAGGTCTGTCTGTCTGTCTGGGGGCCACTTTGCTCGCCTTGTGTTCTTCCGCAGGGAATGCCCCTTGTGGCGCCTCTTTGGCCTTCTCGCTGAGCGGGCCGGCGACGAAGTGATAAAAAAAATGCTGGTGCTTTCGCGAACATGCCGCAGTAGGCCCTCTCGGTCTCGGGATGGCCTGTCACGTCGGCAGCCACCTGATCAATCACACACACACAAAGAGGGAGAACATGTAACATGTATGCACGCGCCCCTTCCTGCGCTCCCCCTTGTGTGTCTGTGCCTGCATGGCTCCATCGACGAAGACTCTGATGTGTTTGGTGCCGAAGTCGACGGCCAAGTTGTAAAACCGACTCGTCTTGACGGGATACTCTGTGTGTGTGGATGGCAGAGACACAGAGACACGCGTCGATGCATCCATCCGTCGATGCGCTAATGAATGTGTGTGGCCTCACCGACTGATGCGAGTTTGGTCGTGGACCCCTCCTTGACGCGGCCGACGTCGATGGAGCTCTTGTGTCCCTTCCTGCTGTGATGAAGCTCTGCGAAGAGATATGTGGCGTTGCCGGTCACCCTGAACACCAGACCAGCAGCCGCCTCGTCAGCGGGATTCTCCCGCTAATACAACCAACCAAAGAGATACACAGATGCAGAGAGTGACTGCACGTGTGGCTGGCTCTTTGGCTGGCTCACGAGGAAGACTTGAGCGAATACGAATCCTCTGTTGGTCTTGACGGAACGGTTTATCAGCATCGATTTGCGAGCGAGGGTGGCCGTCTGTACGATGACGGCCGAGTGCGGGGCCGCCTCCTCCTCGTCGCGTGCGATGCGCCAGTGGGACTGCTGTGTCGAGTCGATGACATTCTAGGCGGCTGTGAGGTCCTCTCTGTAGCCGTACGTCTCACGGTACACACCACCATCAGCAGCAGAGGGGGGCTGATGGTTGCTGTGGCTGTCGTGATGGTGCAGTAGCTGCGACAGACGAGCGCTCCTCTCGGCCATGGCAGACGAGTACTCTGAGCGTGAGACACAACAAGGAGAGACATGATGTGATGAGCCATGAACGAGTGAGATCGTTTTTGATTGTCTCCTCTACCTCTCAGTGTGTCCTTGATGGATGAATGTAGCTGCTCGAACCGTTCTTCATGCATGCCAGACGAGTGGCTGAGGGCCTGCAGCTGCTGCCGGCTGTTAGCGAGACGCTCCTTCCCTGCCTCGGCTTTCTTCTCCAGGGCTCGCATGTTTCGCAAGCTGGCCAGCATCTCATTGTTGCGCTCAGCCAGTGAGTCAGATGAGTCATCGGCGCACCAGCACGACGTGGCGAACAGCGAGACCAGCAGCACCAGGGTCTTCATGCTGTCACTGTCACTCTTCCTCACCAGACAGTTTGAGGCCACTTTGACGAGAAGCAGTGTTTGAATTGAGGCAGTCCCTGCTTCTGTCAAACAGAGTTGGCTGAGGCCGTACACACATACATACATGAATGTACAAGTGTGTCTACTATATATACGTGTGTGGTGCTTGTGCGTCTACTGCACGTGTGTGATACTCGCCACTGGACCACAGACAGTGCATGAAAACAACCACAAGTAAACACACACAACGCGCCCAAACTCGGCATCTCATCCTTCCCCTCCCGAGCTGCAGTGAGTGGAAACCAAGTGCCACGCCCATATTCAACGTGTGTGTTTGGCTGCCATCACATTGAGTTGAATGCGAGTGTGTGTGTGTGTTCACGCAATACACATTCATTCATTCATTCGTTCATTCATTCATTCATCGGTCGGGGCACCGTCACACACCAGTGTCAACAAAGAAAGAAAGAAACCAACCAAAAGAAAAACCCCATAGCCAGCTGCCCCTCTCCCTCACTCATTCAACAGCAAGGTAGAGGTTGATGTCTAAGCTCAGCTCTGCAAACTCTCCTTCACTCACGGGCGGCAGCTTCTTGACTTTCCGCTTCAGATTGAACCCGTGCCACTCCCCCTTGCAGTGAGACCGGTACTCAGGCGCCTCCTGAAACCCAACTTGACACGTCGAACACGTGAACTTCTGCCTGGTGGTCTCATTATCACCCTCGCCTCTGCTTGCCGGCTGGTGGTCGCTCGCTGCAGTGTCGCCTGCCGGCGCGCTGGATCTTGTTGCTGCCTCCTGCTGGTTGTTGTCTGGCTCTTTGTGCCGTCCTCGTAGCGGTCGGGCTGGAGGCTTGCTGATGCCCGTAGCGCCCGCATTTGAGCTGAGCAGCTGGAGGGAGCCGGGAGGGGCGAGCTCTTTCAGCACCATGTGGTCAAGCTGCCGATAGTGACTAGGCTCGCAGCAGAACACCACACTATAGCCACCTGACTCAGTCTCGGTCTCGATGACGGCCTCAAGAGCCGCCAGCGTCTCGTGGACCTTGTCACGATGTGTGGCGTCACATGTGATCTGCAGGCGCATCTTGGCTCGCGCGATGGACTCGGGCATCTGTGTGACGAGCATGTCGATGGCCTTGAGGGCCTGCTTCTTGGCTGGCTCGTTCTGCTTGACCGAGTAGCCGAGGTCCTTGAGAGCCGACTCCACCATGTTCGTCGTCAGCGGCAGGCCCGTCTTGAGATTGACGCACTTCTCGGCGACAATGCCGACGATGTCCTTGAGCAGCGAGTCCTGGACATGGTGCCGCTCCTTCTCGCTCACTTGGATCTCGCCCTTCTCGAGTATCAGCCGGCACACAGTGTCCTCATCGGTCGTCCCGAACGCCATCTGCACGTCGTCTTTGTTGGCGTACTGTCCCTTGCCGACGTTCGAGAAGACAGCACGGATCTGTAGCACTTCGTCGAGGTCCTTCTCGATGCCCGAGCGGTAGTTGAGCACCTTGTTCTTGTAGCACGCCACCTCGAAGCGCTTCCCATGAGTCTTGTAGCGCACCACAGCCACATTGGTCAGACGCACCTGACCGACAGGCTGAAACACACCACGGGACATCGTTGGATCACGGTCAGAGATTATCAGGTCGGTGTGGATGCGGCTGCACAGCTGTGCCAGCCACCATCAGGCCCGTCCCTTGGCTTTTCTCTCCAGCTCTTCTCTTTTGCGAGCTGCTAAGCGATCATCTGCCGATCTTGCACACGTGGCGGAAACGGCTCTCCGACTGGCCAGCCCAAAGCTTGTGTGACAGATCTCTTTCCGACTGGCCACCGCCCTTTTCTTTTCTGCGGAGAACGCGTCGCGACGATGTGCAGATCTTTCGCCGCCTTTGCAGCGCTTGTGGCTGCGTTGCCGTGCGTGCTGGGTACTCAGAAGGGCGCCATCAAGCTCGACTCGTGGACATATGAGAAGTTCCTGTCACTGCCTGGACAGAAGGTATGATAGGGCAGAGAGAGACTGGTGGTGGCTGACCAGCGGGTGGATGGCACTTTGTGTGTGGTGTGTGTTGGCTGCAGGTGCTGGTGAAATTCGACAAAGGTAGGCACTGCACTGCAGTGAAACAGACGGGTTATTGACGGTCACTCTGGTGTGTTGCTTTCTGTGGGCGTTTGACCAACCAGCATACGCATACGGCGACACAGAAGGTCAGGCATGACACAGAGAAGAGAAGAGAATCGCTGCAGTGCACTGGTCCATCTCTCTCTGCACGTTGTGTGTTCAGATGCGTTCAAGAGTCTGTGCGAGAAGGTCTCCAAACACAGCTCCTTCTTCGTCGCCGAAGTGCCAATAGCCGGTACACACACGCCCACACACAGGCGACACAAGCCAGCGTCTTATTATTCACTCCTTCTCACGTGCCTGCTGTTGGTGCAGAGTACGGCGACAAGGAGAACGACGACCTGCGGGAGCGGTACAGCCTCAAGAAGGACGACTACCCCGTCTACAAGCTCGTGACCACCGGCCCCAACTTCGACGAAAAGGCCGTCAACTACACCGGCGACAAAACCGCAAGAGGTCAGTCACGGACACACACGGATGGGAAACAGAAACGGTCCCTGTTTCTGCGCGCGGCGTCACTTCAGATTTGGTGCGGTTTCTGAGAACCAATGGCATCCGCATCACGTTAGCCCGGCACTCAAACTCACACACAGACGGCACATGACCTCTGCCCATCATCCTTTCCTTCCTTGTCTGTCTGTCTGCAGTGGTGTCGGAGGTCTGAAAGAGTATGACGAGCTGGCCGAGAAGTTCATCACCAAAACCAGTGAGGCGGACCGCAAGGCCGTGTTGGATGCGGCCCAGACAAAGGCTGGTGGCGAGGAGGACACCGACGTCAAGAACAAGGCCGAGATGTACGTCAAGACCATGAAGAAGATCGTCGAGAAGGGGCTCGACTACGTCAACACCGAGACCGAGCGAGTCGCCAAAGTGCTCGGGGTCAGCACAGACAGACAGACAGACGGACGGACGGACAGACAGGATGCGCCGATGTGGAATGGTGACATTAATTGCTGTCTCTTTTCGCTCCTATAGGGCAAGATGAGTGACGACAAGAAGAAGCAGATGGAGGTCAAGCTCGACGTGCTGTCCTCATTCGAGGGCGTCAAAGTGCACGAGGAGCTCTGACCGCAGGTAGCTCAATCGCTGGGTGGCTGGGTGGTGGGCGGGGTGCGGGGATCTATCGCATGGATGGACTGATGTGTGCTGCTGCATGCTGCATGAATCGATGTGTGAGCGTGGGTACGTGTGTGGACGGTCTGTCTATCTGTCTATCTCGACTGGGGGACAGACGGACATCACACAGGACTCAGTCAGGCAGAAAGGCAGGCAGCGCACATCCCAATTAAGGACTTACACGCCCTCATGCACTCACTAGTCATCTATAGTACTTGTGTGTACGTGTTTGTACTGTGTCTTTGTCCCCGTCAGCAGCCCGAGGGCGCGGGCAACCACAAGCAGTCGGACAGACAGAGAGCCAGACAGACATGCAGCCTGAGGTAGATAGAAAGACAAGCGGCTGTTTCTCCGTGTCTGTCGGTGGGCCTGTGTGTGTTTTGTGAGCGAGCGAGCGCACACGACTCGTTGGGGTTGGGCGTGTCAAGCAACAGATACAAGTTTATGGTGAGTGGCCGACCGATTGACCTCATCGTGTCAGACTAACATGCCATGATGAACGAACTCGGTCTTGCCTACTGGGCCGAGCGAGCCATCGCCCACGCAGAGCCATCCAGAACCACACACAGGAATGATAGGCCATTCATTGGCACGTCCGTCTGCCGTGTCTTCGACGGGTTTCCTCCCCTTCCTCCCGACGCTTTTGCCAGGCACCCAAGATCAGGCCCAGGCGAAGGCGTCGAAGGAAGGAGATGCAACCCGTCAAGGGACAACGGCATAAGGCGCAAGAACCAGACTGGAGACCCTTGACCCCGTCAATTCATTGTCTCTGCGTCGATGCGTTCGTGTTGCTGCTGTTCGCACAGCCGCCTTGACCCTGTGGCACACCCAGAGGTGATTCTGGATGCGCCACGAGGTCGGTGTAGCTTGTCGATACCAGCAACGAGAACACATGTACGGCTGAATCCATCCATCCATCAGCCCACCCTCCCTCTCTGAAGCTAGCTGTACAACCAGGCGTCCCCTCCCTCCCCTCCCCTACTCAGTCAGCAATGGCAGCCATCTGCCTGAAGGTGGCGTTGTTACGCAGCCTAGCGTAGTCCTTCAACTCGAAGTCGAATCGGATGCCCTTGCCCCGCTCCTCGGCGTGCGCCACCTTCCGCAGCGTGCCCAGGTAGAGGTAGGCCCCGCCCACCGGCCGGCAGAGCAGCAGCACGTGCATGGATGAGTCTTCGCGCAGCCGCCGCACCAGCGGGTGTGCGGGGCCGTACCGCTCTGGGGCGTACCAGTTGATGTTCCGCCCCTTGTTGGTGAGCAGGTTGCCGTAGGCGGTGCATGCAGATGAGGAGCGGGGGGAGGGCTGGTGCTGCTGGTCGAGTGCGGGCAGGTTGATGAAGAGGATGGCGGCGTTCGTCAACCTGAGCAAGGCAGCACATAGTGCGTACAACCATGGACACACAACACGTCTCAGTTGTTCTTCTCCTCTTTGTGTGTTCGCGTCGTTGGTTACTCTAGGATGCCGGCGTATTTGTTGAAGCGCACAGGTCCGTTGCAGAGGAGTGTTATGGCCTCTCGCTTGAGCTTGCCGACCTCGTTGCCCACGTGCTCATTCAGACACGAAGGATTCACCACCTGCAATGCAATGCAACACGACACACATCAATGAGACCAGACCTTGCCCGTGTTTGTGTATGTTGCTCACAACGTTCTTGGCAGATGGAGTGGCGCGCTGCACCCATCCACACACACACACACACACACAGAGTCATGCAGAGAAGCATCCAACTTGGGCATCCAATGCGCTGAATGCACGAAGCCCTCCCCCACCTGAATGAAGAAGTGCCTGATGTGGTCCACGATCTCTATGGGGACGGCCGCCATGTCCGGGCTACGCATCCAGGCCCACAGCAGCATCAGCACAGGGCTGGGAGGAGGGGCAGGTGCGAGAGAGGAAGAGGCCGCTTCCCCCCGCCCATTCTTCTGTTTCTTGGCCGCCGCCCCTCCGGCGCCTCCCTTGCGCTTTCTGGCCATCTCAAAAGCTACCTCGTCATCTCCAAGAGTGCGAGCTTGAAGCCAGAGAGGCAGGGATGTGCAGGAGAGGATGTATGGGAGAGGACACAGAAGAGTCCATACAAGACCATGCTATCACAGACACTTGTAGATCTCTCGAATTCAGCGGCTCATTCATGACCATTGTGGGCGCATCGAGTCTTCACAAGCTGGCATGATGAAGAAGGTGCATTTCGACTTCACTGGCAAGGTCAGATCTACGCAGAAACAATTGATGGATGCACCTTGCTGTTGCCTCTGACTGTGTGCAGCGTGCGCTCGTCACAGGGGCTGGCAAAGGCATTGGCCGGGCGGTGGCAAAGGCCCTCATCGACAGCGGCGCTGAGGTGATTGCAGTGACAAGGACGCAGGCCGATCTTGACTCCCTGAAGGCAGAGGTGGCCGCTGAGGGGAAACCCAGCAATTGCCTTGTGTGCGTCGCTGTGGATGTGGGTGACGCCGGTGCTCTGCGGCCTGCACTGGAGGGCTGCGGCGACATCGACCTGGTGGTCAACAACGCGGGCATCAACGTGCTGCAGACCTTCCTCGAGACCACGGCAGACGCCTTCGACCTGACCATGAGCGTCAACCTTCGGGCGTGCCTCGTCGCCTCACAAGTGGCCGCCGAGTCGATGATCCGCCGGGGCGTCAAGGGGACCATCGTCAACGTCTCCAGCCAGGCCTCGTTGCTGGCGCTGCCCAAGCACACGGCCTACTGTGCGAGCAAGGCTGCCCTGGACATGCTCACCAAGTCTGCAGCACTGGAGCTCGGCCCTCACGGCATCCGGTGTAACGCCGTCAACCCGACGGTCGTCATGACCGACCTGGGCAAGGCGGCCTGGGCGGAGGCCAAGAAGTCGGCGCCCATGCTGGACGGCATTCCCCTCGAGAGGTTTGCCGGTGTGGACGAGGTGGTGCAGCCGATACTCTTCCTGCTATCCGAGGGAGCCTCGATGATCAACGGGACGGTGCTGCCCGTCGATGGCGGATTCACGTGCGCCGCCACGCTTCGGAAGGATGCAGTGCTGGCCGCAGAGAAGGCATGAGGACAAGTAATGTAGGACTTGGTCCTTGTTTTGCCTTGCCCTTGTCTGCCTGCGGATTGTATTGTAGTTGGTTGGTTTCAGTAGGGGCAGCCAGTGTGTGGAATACATTGCAATGACGTGGGGTTATTTATTGAAAGCTGACTTTCTGTGTCTGCTGGCCGCGTGCTGCATATGCCTGTGTCTGCGTGTGCGCCGTGCACCGCCGCACACGCACACGCACAGACACTACATGCACATGCACGGACGAAGGGGTGTGCGTCTCCTTCCCTCTCTCTCCATGTGTGTGTGTCGGCGCCTTGCACCCTGACTCTGTGGGAGGGATGAGATGAGTTTGTTATGTGTAGTCGGCATGGTCAAGGCAAGTTGAGCGAGTTGCCTGTCCGGTCTGTTGGCTGAGTACTCGAAACCACCTGTCTACCCTGCTTCGAGGAAGGAGGAAAACAGCCATGCACTGAAAAGAAGCAGAGGGCCCCTGCAACTGACATACGTGCATCGAAGAGGCTACAGCGCATGGCCATCTGTCTGTTTGTCCAGCTGTCCACGACAATGGACAGAGATGACAGACACAGACACACATCCGTAAAGCACCGACAAAAAGGCACACGTAGGGCAACCAGACAGACAGACAGACAGAGAGAAAGAGAGGATCTGCCTCATAATTTCCTTACACACAGCACCTACCACTCACCACACCATCCAGCCTACACCACACCACCCACATGTGTACACGTCCAGTCACGAACCTCACTCAGCCAGCCGAGTTGAAGAAAGAATGCCATTAATGAATGCAGGATAGATCACCCCCTCCCACTCACGGGTGGATGGCCTTGACACATGCCTCGAGGCTGTCGCCATGGGTGAAGGTGAACCGGGTGCGCACCTTCTTCCACAGACCGAAGGCAGAGCAGTGCACTCTGACGTGTGTCTTCCCCGTCACGTGCCACCGCGCCCAGTCCCTCCACAAATGAAACAACATCTTCGGTCCGCCAGGGCCCTGCTCGACGCGCCCCACTCCGATGCCCACTCTGTACGTGTCGAAGCGGTAACATGCAATTTGGTTGTTGTGGCCTTCGTGGGGGCTGGGCCGTGCATCGAATCCGCGGATGATTTCCCACGCCACACGGCCACGCACCTGGATGCTGATCGTGGCCTCGGCACACCCCTTGTGAACCTCGCCAACAGACGATGCCTCGACGCAGAATGCGAGCGGCTGGTCCCCGGTGTTGATGCTGAACTTGAGGTATGCATCGCCCTCGGTGGTCAGCTCCCCAGCGTCGGCATCCCACGTCCCACTCCCTGTCATCCTTCTGAGCTCCAGAGGGAAACGCTGCTGCTTCTTCTCGGGGACGGGGAGCCCCAGCATGTCGCTGAGCCTCACATACTCCGCTCGCAGGTCCACGGGGATGGCCGATGGGCCCACCTCGGCCAGGTGCCTCTCCAGGCTCTCCCGCTCCAGCCGCTTGACGATCAGCGCGAAGCTGTCAGCGTCATAGTGAGGCAGAAGGATGCGGCCCTGGTCGTCTTTCTTGCAATGGTCGCTCCATATGTCGCTGAGCATCAGCGTCAGGCAGGAACTCGGAAACTGCGAGCGAAGGTGCGCCACCACAGATGACGAGAGCGTCATTGGGCTGCCGCCAACGATGAGATCTACATCCGAAGGGGCAGAAGAGTCGTTCGACGACAGCATGGTTGTTGAAGGAGGGGGCGGAGCGGACGGCATGACGGTCGAATCAGCGACACTGATGCGCACCCCCCACACACAACAAAGACGATTTGGGAGAGATCTCCACCTCGCTTCCCAGCCTGTGCGTACATACCTCGAGAGCTCGTGCTGCTGCATCCCTTCAACCAGACGGAGATCTCTTCAGCCGAAGTCCTGATGCACACAGAGGCGAGTGCAGGTCTGGGAACCATCTTCCCTCATGTGCACACCTGCGCTCCACCCGGAAGTTTCTGGTTTCTGTCCGAATTTGCGACAAAACAGCCTCGATCTTTCGCGAGCTTAGCTCGCAGAAAGGCCATGACCAAATCTTCGTGTTTTCCCCCTCTTTCTCCGCGAGTCACTGTGTGTCTGACCCGGGGAGACATTCGTCGAATGAAATCGCAAAACGAATTTGCCAGGTTCGAGAAAACCATCAATTCGACCCTCACTCGATCAGGCCGAGAAGGAGATGTCCTGGACCACATTTCAACGCTTCACAGATGCGGGGCTGGCTCCCCGAGGCTTACCCACTCGAGATCTGGAAGCGGGCAGCCTCGATCAGGCCCCGACAGAGGAGAGCCCTCCCTCCTCGCCTGCTCTCTCCTCCTGTCTGCCTTGTCTTCCTGTCTTCTTGTTGACTGCAGACGCTGCCTTTGTTTATCTGCCTTTGTTTATCTGCTACCTTTGATAGAAATCAATAAGAAGACTCGTTGGCTCCTCTCTTCCCCTTCAGCTCTTATGGTGATTTGGGCAGTGACTGTCCTGCTGGTTCTCTCTGTGGCCTGGACGTCAGCAAAACCCGCGCAACAGGTACACAGAGAGGACGACGATTTGATGTCGTGAGAGAGAGGATGACTTGTGTGTTCAGGTCCACTTGCGTCGCGTGCAGGAGGCCTCACCGCCGAACGGCACGTCGCTGTCTGCGTCAGAGTATGAGGGGCTGATCGGCCTCCTTGGAAACGGCACCACGCGACTCGCCTCGCTCTACCGGTAGACCCACGCGCTTGACTCCAGATTCCGTTTCTGTGCATGTGTGTGTGTGTGTGTGTGTGTGTGTAGGACATCTGAGCACGGCACCAGCTATGACGACCTGATCGACCGTGTGGGCGACGCAAAGCCTTTGGTGTTTGTGGTCAGAAAGGATCAGTACGTGTTCGGCGCCTTCATCAGTGCCGGCCTGCGGCTGCCCGACGACCCGGCCAGCTACCATCGAGTCGAGTGTGATGTGTGGCATTTCTCGCTGGCCGGCCACTTCCCCCAGCCGACCAAGATCGAGATCGAGCAATGGGAGCACTATGTGGAGGTGGCGGGGGGGCAGAGGAGTGTGGCGGTTGGGGGCCCTTCGGTGTACATTGGTGGGGTCCTGTGGGTGAAGGCAGAGTACGATGTTGGCGTGGCTGCTGATGATGTCCTCTACTGCAAACAGCTCACTCGGAGTGTGCCTGAGGGCTACACGGGAGTGAGTACTGAATATGGCACGGCTCTTCTGGCTGGCTGGTCCACGTTCATGGCTGACGAGATCGAGGTGCTGCACGTGGTGGGTTGGGGCAGTAATCAAGAGTGAGGCGTCTGTCTGTCTGTGTCCTTCGTCACTCCTCGTTTTTTCTCGTTCGATGCGATTCGCCTTCTCTCTCTCTCTCTCTCTCTCTCTCTCGTGCTTTATAAAGGCAGCAGATGTCCGACACGGATGTGAGTGTGTGTCTGTCTGTGCCGATGTGACCTGACAGCACAGCCAAACCGCTGCGTGGCCGATTGACTGAGTGAATGTCAGTCAGTCTGGCGATCATGTGAAAGTAAAAGTGCGTTCATTCGCTCAAGCCCAGACCAACCAACAGTCAGGAGTAGGGTCTCAAAAACACCAACACACATCTCATCATCCGTAATTAACACCTTCGCACACGGAAAATGTCCACATTCGCTGGCCATCCATCCATCTATCCGGTCAGTCTCTCTCTCTCTCTCTCTCTCAGTATGTGGTGACAGCGGGCCACCCCAGCACCTGCCGTATCTCCTCCAGCCGCTTCCTGTTGCTGTCGTTGTCGCCCTACACAACACACACACACACACACCCATCAGCAGCCAGTGTGTGAATGGTTGTGCTGGTGGGGCCTGCCTGCCCGTGTGTCGGCTTACGAGTGGAGTGGTGAATGGGAACACAAAGATGGTGTCCCTCGACCTTGAGCTGGCCAAACACAGCTTCAGGTCGGGCTTCATCAGAAACTCAATGTCGTCATAACCGCCAGGAATGAACGAAGGCACCTACCGCACAGACACACAGAAACATGATAAGAGGGAGAACACATGAGTGTCTTGCTGCTTGTGTGGCTGTTGTTTGACACACTGACTTCAGCTCTGAGGTAGAGCCGCTCATCGTCGACTCTTTTGACGGTCGCCTCGGGCCAAAAAGTCACCGTCTGCACCAGCTTGTTCCACGCTGCATGGCATTGATGCAACCACAACATCTGCAGGCTCCGTCCGAGTGCGTAATGCAAGGCACGGCACCTGACCTGCTCGTGGGTCGCTTTGCCTGTCCTCGAATGAGCCCTCGTAGGACCAGGGCGGCACATACCTCTCGGGCACACGCACTGCAGAGCTGCTCACCTGCGCACAAACCACACGACACACTCTTTCTCTCACGAGTATGTGCTGTGCAGCAAATATGTGCAATCATCAATCTATCCGACGTCTCGCCTCCCTTACGCAGTTCTGCGTCGCTCGGCACTCACGCAGCCTGGACAGTACAGTACCAGCCGCCCACAAGCAGAACACGGACACGGACAACCCTCTCCGTGTGTGTGATTGATTGATTGATCGGCCGAGGTGGGCCTACGTGCTGTACCTACCTGCCGTCTTTGAGGTCGCTGTGTCTGCACGAGATCTTTTGCCCGAATGCCAGCGGCACCGTCTCGCACTCACGAGTCTCCTCGGCACTCAACCGAAGGCTGCGCGACACATCGCCCTCACCACAGGCACATTGTGCATAGGCCGTCAAACCCGCCATTGCAGCCAGATGGCCTCCGATAAGCTCTCGCCGGGACTTGTGAACGGACATGGAACACTGATGCCTTCTCCTCGCTGCAGAGGGAAAGGGCCTCTGCTGCTGCCGACGAGCCGCATAAGACGGTCCTCTCTCACTCAGGTATGCCTTGACGGCTCGGCAGAAGAGCCACATGGCCAGCAACAGCCACGAGTGCATAATTGACGAGCGCCCGGTCAGCTGACGTGAGTGCATCTTCAATGAACCGACCTGCAGACGCAACACACACGGAAAGGCAATGAATGAGCGCGTCTGCTTCAAGAGATCTACACGTGGTTCTGATAGCATTGCCTTTTCTGGGCTCTGCTGTGTGCTCGGCCGACCGTCTGCTGCCCGTTTCGCCGACGTGCTGACGATCGCCATGCGAGCTAAGCCAAAACATTCTATCCGAGGAAGGACAACACACAAGGCCCTGCCCGCAGGAGAGAGAGCACAACAGCAGGGCAGATCTGCCTTGTCCAGCTAGAAGCTCCAACCGGAAGATCAAGATCCGCCCCGGCAGACAGAGAATGAACGCGTCGCCATCCTCCACCGACACTGTCGTGCCGGCCGATGCCGTGGGAGGGGAGGCCTGGATGGATGACACCCACACGCATGCCGACAGCCGACAGCCTCTCGACCATGTGCGGCTGCTTCGTGACAAGGTGGCGGCTTACCTGCACGGGGCTGGGATGGACCACCCCTGCACCGATGCACCCGACGACGTGCGATTCGCATGGGAACTCGAAACTGCAAGGTGCAGATGGTGCCTTCATGCTTGGTTGTGGTCTGCGTTGGCATGTGTTGTGTTGTGTGTCAGCCGCATCCAGGGATCGCTGCGGGAACGGTGTCAGCTGATGCGCGAAATGGTCATGATGCGGGGCGCTGAGCTGCCCGAGAGCTCCGTCAAGCACGCCGCGGAGGAGCGGCTGCACATGCCCGACTACCAAGAGGCCATCCAGAGGGCACAGCAGGAGGCCAGCAAGCTGCTGGGGGCCGACCAGCAGGAGGAGGACGAGATGCTGGAATTGCTATCACAGGATGGTAGGCGCAGCGACACCGCACCCACCGCAGGGAGAGAGAAGGTGCCAGGCCTAGGTGTGGTTGTGTATGTCGATCAGATGAGGGCAGTGTGACGACGGCGTACGGCACCCCTCAGCACATGGAGGACACCACCATGGCGGCAGGAGGGCAAGGAAACCGCCCACAGACGGGTACGGTAGATACGATCGGCGCCGACATTGGTGCAGGCAGGCACGTGTGTGGGAGGGACCCTAATGCCGTCTGTGTGTTGTGTGTGTCTGCCTGTGCTGTGCAGATTTGCGTCGGGTGACGGCGGTGTCGGAGCTGGAGTCGCTGACCGAAAAGCACGGCAGCGGTCTGTTCCTCAAGCTGATGGAGATTTACCAGATCGACAGCAGCTCCTGGCGCGCATCGGCATCGCTCCAGCAGCTCCAGCAGATGGCATCAGACATCGGTCAGTATTTATTGTGCGACCCTCCCTCCGCAGAAACAAACACCATATAGCGTGATGTGTGTGCGCTGCCTGTCCGTCTGTGTGTATCTGCTCCATGGATGCAGCTGCAGAGGCGAGGCGGTCGGCTGCTGCTCACGCCCCCCCTCCCACCAGCACCAAGAGTACCATCACCACCATCAAGCCCCGTGACCCACTGCAGCCACGTGAGCAGCCGACCGACACAGTGCAGCGTCTATGCCCGTGTGTGTGTGAGTGAGTCTGTCGTGTGTCGTGTGTGCAGATGACGTGTACGTGAGCGACTGGCCTGCGCGTCTTGTCGGTGTGGACCCATCGGCCGCAGAGGTGCACCGCGGCGACTTTCCCTCAAGTGAGGATGGATGATGGATGGATGGATGGACACAGACCGCTCCAAGTTGGTGCGTCTGTCTGTATGTTAGATCACTCTACAGCTCTGACGGTCAACATACGGATGGCCCTCAAGAAGTGGAAGGTCATCAGATACTCATGGAGCTCGGATGAATTCCCCCTCGAGAGCTTTGACGTCTCTTGCACACTCACAACCGACAGGTGGGTGCGTCAGAGAAAGAGAGAGAGGGTCGGATGGATGGATGGATGGATCGTTGGCTGGGTCAGGCTGTGGAAGTACTGGGACCACGAAGAGAGCCGCGTCGTCAAAGCCACCCTGCACTCCGGCAGACATGGACAGGCAGGACACAAGCAAGATGCACACTTGGGATGCGTGTGTGTGTGTGTGTATGTGTGTGTGTGTGTGTGTGTGCAGGATTTTGTGTTTCTGTGCGAGTGGCCGATGGATTTGCTGCAGGCGCTCTTCTCCCTCCTCAATGCACAGTTCACAAAGGAGTTCCAACACCGACGTGCAGAGTAAGCAGAGCGACACACTCGGACGCACAGAGACAGACATACATGTGTGTGGTGGGTGTGTGCGTGGGGTGCACCAGGTCGATTGGTGAGCGCGCCATGCGGTGCATCTTCTCTGCACCGGTTCTGAAATCGAAACTCTTGGTCAGCACCAACACGCACACACACACTCACACTCCGGATGCCTAGATGTGGAAATGCCCTGTCCGCAATATTTGTCAGACGTCGTGGTTCCACTACCTCTGTGCCACCGGCCAGACGGACCAGCCCACCGAGGTCCTCCAAGACCCAAACACCTACTACGACACACACGCCCACGCCCCCACCCCCACACACACGCCCACAAGTCGCCCGCACCAGCACAACCAGCACAACCAGCAGCAGCAGCGGCCTACTCCCACATCTGCTTCCATGCCCAAAGAAGACACAAAAGGTGAGGAAAGGGCACGAGAGATTCACTTAATTACCATCTCACAGCACATAGATACATTGATGTGGGCGTCTGGGTGCTCTGCTGCAGGGGGAGGGTCGGTGGATCAGTGGCGGTCGTGTCTGCTGAGCGGCCCCCTGCCAGACAGCGTCATGTGGACAGGATTCCTCGACAGGCAGCGGGACGGCGTGTCGGAGAGCGACCTCACCCTGGTGGTCATGTACGTGCTGCAGTACTGGCGGGTCTCACTCTACTACCTTGTGAGCAACACCAGGCTTCATGGTGGGTGGACACACAGTGGACACATAGTATATTGGGTGTGTGTCGGGTGTGTCTGTGCAGCTGACGGAGCTTGTTCCCTGTGAGAGTGAGAATGACTGCGGCGTGTTCGTCCGGCTCGACCCCCAACCGTGAGCAGCAAGCACCACACAGCACACGCCCACACACCACCAGAAGCAAGCTGCTCGATGTGGTTTGATCGATTCCCTTAGGTTGAAGCGTCCCGGCAAGGACCGCCAGGGCCACATCACGACCCTATGGCGGCTGTGCATACACTACGGCGACAAGATGCAGGTGCGCGGCACACACACACACACACACAGTTGCCTTGATGCTGTCTGTCTGTCTGTCTGTTGTGGCCCCTGCTTCTCAGTCCGTTGCGTGTGTGACGCAGTGGCCCAGGGCGGCCATGGAGGCGCTCGTCGACCTCATCAATCTGACGCTGTCAAACATTCACCACACATACAAGTATGTCAGTGGGCGGGCGGGCGGGCGGCACACAACACAGCCACACCCACCCATCGAAGGCTCTTTATCTGCCGGTGTGTGTGTGTGTGTGTGCGTATCAGGGAGACCGGTGCCTTGGGGGATGGCTATGCTGGCAAGAAGAACATCGTCCAGCAGCTGTTCACACCCGCACTCATAGAGGCCGCACTCATGGTGCCCTCCCGCCCCCCGCCCCCCGCACACCCCCAACCACACACCACACACACGCACACCTGCCTCTCCTCTCTCCTCTCTCCCCCCCACTCAGTGCTCGTGGTTCCATTACGTCAACACAGAGGGCTACATGAGCCACCGACGGGATGAGTTCCGGAGCCTGCAGGCATTCAGGGCATGGCGCCACGCCATGGAGGACGGCCACAGCACGCCGTCAACGGTCCCCTCCAGCGTGGTCAGCACACCGCGGGGCGGCCGGACGCCCGCACGACCCGCCAGGGGAAGGCAGGGCAGGGGGGCGTAGGGGGTGTGGTGGATGGAGGGGGCTGGGGTGGGACGAGAGGCGAGGACAGGATAGGAGCGGTGCAGGTGGCTGACTGAAGGTTTAGTGGTGCGGTTTTTGTGCGGTGCGTGGCGGGTTCATGGTTCAGTTGGCTTTCTTCAGTTTGTAAGACTTGTCAGGTTAGGTGTTTCTGGATGGATGTGCACTCGGATGGTTCGGTAGGATGGGTGGGATGGATGGGATGGTATGGGTGGATTGACGTGAGGTTTGCGTGAGAGCCTTCCCCTTGTGTGTGAGCGAACAGACACACAGACACGCGACGCGCCTACCACACACAGCTGTCTGAACGAGCCAGGACGCCAACCACACATCAACACGACAGAAAATCCTCTGGGGCCCGGGGTGCCCATGTGTGTCAACCACGCGCAACGGCAGGCAGAGTCTGTCGGTCTCTCATGAAGTGAACTGCGTCAATCGACCAACCCTCAATCATGCGACCACACATCAACAGGACAGAAAATTCCCTGCTCCATCGCAGAAACAGGGCACTGCCCGACAGACAGGAAATTGTCCATGCAACTGCAAATGTGGTGCACACGAGAAACACCACAGCAGCTCTTAGGTGACCAAGTCGGCCTGAAACAATTCGCCCCAGCGACAATAGTACACAAATGGAAAAGAATTCGCCACGCCCGCATCAATCAATCAGACATGCACACACATCACACGAGCCCCTCCCTTATGAGCAAGGCCTCCAGCTCACTCATCTGTCGGCCATTAACCGCCGTCACAATTTGCCCTCCACCGCCTCACAGTGGCCCCCACCGCGCATGGCCATCAACCGCGTCACGCTGGCGGGGGAGGGCACAGCCTCCATTGCGGAGAGCTCGGCCTCGATGCTGCTGAAGTCTGCCGCCGACATGCCCTCGAACTCATGGAGAGGCTTGTGCAGCACCGGGTCACGGAAATTCCTGCACAGACGGGACACAGAAGGAGGAAGAGAGTGTGTGGACAGCGTGCCTGACTTGACTGTGTGGCTACCGGAGGTAGTTGAACAGGTGTTTTCTGAAGGCATCGGTGTAGGTCAGGGCGTCGGAGATGAAGGCCTCCTCCACCGCAGCCACCGACACACCCTCCTGGCAGATGAGAGACACACTCGTGTGCGCGTGTGGTGTATGGTGTGTCGCCACATTCTGCCACCTTTGCTGCGTGGTCTTGAAAGCACCCCTGCAAGAATGCCGCAAGAGCCTCGTTGGCCTCCAGCTCATACCTGATGCTCTCCTCCCATTCTGCCCGCTGCAGATACTCCCCCGTGACCGAAGAGAACTCCGCAGTCGCAGAGACTCCGCGCATCCTATCGTGCACCAGCCGCGGCCCCTCTTCCTCGCCGAGCAGCGGTATGCTGGCGTGCTGGATGGCCGCGACGCAGACGTCGACTGGCGAAGGGATGAGGAACCAGTGGCGATCTCGGCCCTGGATCGTCACCGTGCACTTGAGTTTGCGCCAGAACATGCCGGCAAGGATGGTCCCGGTGGTGAGGATGAAGGGCAGGGGGATGATGCCCATTGGCAGGTTGTGGTGGAGGAGGTCCTTGATGGCCCTGGTGAGGATGGCCTGCGCCTTGTCCTGCATCACGGCCACCGTCGCTGGGTCAGCGGTGATGTCCTCGTTGATGCCGTTGGTGTAGCGGCCGATGGTGATGGGCGCGAGGCGGAAATTGGGGTAGCACAGGCTCCTCTCCCAGACGATGGCGCCGCTTTCAGTATCAGGGGGTGTGCGGGGCTGCGTCACGCTGTCCTTAGCTGGATTGGCAAGCGTGATGCCGCAAAAAAGGCTTGTCTTGCGGCCGTCCCTCGTCCACATGGCAACGGTGGGGGCGTCCTCCTCACTCATATCGACCGTGGCGCGGTCTTCGGTCTCTGTCCTCACCAATTGCTCCGTCTTGAGTATAAGCATCACATGATTCTTGCCGTGGGTGTCGATCTCACGCAAGATGGCCGACTCCCTGCACCGCTGCACCTTGAAGAACCCCTCGCTCCCCATCAGGCCGGCCGTGTAGCGCAGTGCGGCCTTGTTGCCGCGGTAGTGGTCGCTGCATAGCAGTTCCTTCAGCCAGCCGCACTCCTTCATGTGCTCAATCTTGGTGTGAGTGCCGGTGCAGCCGGGCCCGCACTGCGGACACAGCCCAGTATCGCCGCTCGGTGCAGGTCCACTCGTGGGTGCCGAACCAGTGCGCCTTCTGACATTCCTGCAAACAGTGACGAAGAGCACCAGTGAGTGCACTTGTGCATCTTGCCTGAATCAGTCTGACCTGTGAGCAGTATCGGGGCAGCCCGCAGGCCTCGCACACCTTGAGGTCAGGGGGCAGCAAACCGCAGACAAAGCAGCCCTCCTGTGCCGGCGGGGCGGGAGGTGGCGGCGGCTCAACCTCGGCGTTGCTCGACGGCGATGATGATGCCGCCGCCGACGACGTTGCAGTGATGCGCCGCATCATCTCTCTCGAGGTCGCTTCGTTCTCATCCTCAGAGTCGCTCAGATCACGCGCCAGCCTGTCCCACTTGGAATAATCGAGTCGCGACATCCCGGCCGGATAAGCAAGCAGTGAGCCCTGAGCCTGTTCCTCTTGAAATGCAAAGATGCCCAAATCCCTCTTCCGTTTGCGCTCCAACGGCTGCGAGCTAATATCGCAGCCCGGGGAAGCAAGGGGAGGCAAGATGGAGACCTCGTCCAACGGGACGATGTCTTACTGTGACCAGCTGAGTGCCGTCGTCGCTCGCTATCTCGAGCAGTCCGGCCAGACACACCCCTGCCTCGACGCTCCCATCGCCGTAAGGCGCCAGTGGGAGGCGGAGACCGCCAAGTAGGACACGCACGCACACAGATACAGATCTCAGTCACCTACAAACAGGGCACGCTGATGGGATGGATGGGATGCTATGCTTCCATCCTTGTGTTTCTCCCATCCGTCAGGCGCATCCTGCATGCTAATAAGCAGCGGGCCCTCCTGCTGCGGGAGGTGTGCCATCTCAAGGGCCATCCCCTGCCCCCCTCCTCGGCCGGCAACATGGTGGCGTGGGAGAGTGAGGATAACCCCGAGCATGCGGCCATGGTGGCAGAGGCCAAGAGGGAGGCGGCGAGGCTGGTAGGAGTGGAGCAGGGTGCAGCCGAGGGAGAGGGAGAGGGAGGGGGAGAGGCTGACATGGACACGGTGGTGGAGCCCGAGAAAGAAGGTACACGCAGACAGACAGACAGACAGGCAGGGGTCCTCTGATGGATCGGTTGACGGATGGCTGGCTGGGCATCTGGTGCTGCTTCCTTCCTTGCATTTCTGCCTGTAGCTCATCATCCCATTGAGGAAGCCGCTCCAGCGGCTGCAGAGGTCGTGGGCGAGGAGATGACTGAGTTGGGTATCAAGCAGACCAGAGAGGAGCCCATCCATGAAGCCGCCAAGGACACCACTGAGTCACAGGAAGGTAAGTACGCACGCAGAGGCAAGACCCCCTCCGACATACACAAGAAGACACCCTGCTGTTCCTTGGCCCATCAGATGTGGCCACGCGCACCAACCTGGTGCACTTCCTGGACGACTGGGGCACGGGCAACGGGTGGGACGTCATCACCAAGCTGCTGAGCAAGGAGGAGGCCGCCGACCCCGACTGGAAGTTCCACCTCCCCATCGTCCGACTGCAGGCACTCATACAGCAGCTCTCAGAAGAGCCCACACGTAAGCCCACACGTCCACTCATCCACACAGTCACACACACACACCCGTTTGTGAATCATCTGTGCCTGCAGCGTCTGTCGCGCAGCCACCGACCACGCCGTCGACCTCGCGCACCCACCACCCGTCGCCCACCCCCACCCCGGCCACCCACGGCCAGCAGCCAAACCCTCCTGCTGCAGGTGCTGGCGGTGGGGTGCCGGCGTCGGTGCACATCCAGGTGCGTGACCGGAAGGGCACCCTGGGGTACAGCAGGAGCCCTGAGGTCATGGAGAAACTCATGCCCCCCTCCGTCATCAAAGAAATTCAGAAACGTACGACACAACGAATGGGTTGACTGACGGAATGGCGCCGGGAGAGGGAGGGTGGATGGGATGCGGTGGATGCGGTGGATGCGGTGTGTGTGTGTGTCTGTGTTGTGTAGACGACGTGTATGTGGACGACTGGGAGACCCGGCTGTCGCTGAAGGCCGACCCGGACTCGGTCCCCTTCCTGGAGGAACTATACGAGTCAAGTGAGTCAGTGAGTGCATGTGTGTGTCGGCCAATGCAACAGATGTGCCCTGCCCATGTGATATCTCTGCTTGTGTGTGTAACAGGGAGGAGTGTTGGATTGGCGACGACGCTCAACTACGCCCTGAAGGAATGGATGATCGTCTACGGATTCTACGTACGTCTAGTGGCAGCCCGCCAGCCCGCCAGCCCGCCAGCCAGCCAGCCAGCCGCGGCAGCCAGACAAGAGGGAGTGATCGTCTTTTTGTATGGTCCATCCCATTTGTGTGGCGTGGGTGTGGTGTGGTGTGCCTCCAGATGACTCAGCAGGAGGAGCTCTTCGGCGACAAGAAGAGGATCGGCATCAAAGTCCAACAGGACAAGTGAGTGGGATTGTGTGGGTGGGTGGGTGTGTGTGGGGGGGCTCATTCAGACCCGGCTGTCCTTGTTTGTGTGCTGCCTGCCTACCTGTGCCTGTCTGTCTGGTGGGTGTCAGGTACTGTCGTCCTTCGCACCGGTCGGGACATACGCCCACCATCCCCCAGAACCTCTTCAGGACATACGTCTACTCACACAGATTCGGACAGGTGGGCATCCCCCACCTGTCCGAATGTGGTGCTTGGGTGTTTGTGTGGTGCTTTGTGGTGCGATCGACCGATCCAGGTGTGTGTGAATGCGATGCGTGTGTGTGGCGATGCAGGAGGTGTTGTACTCGACGTCGTGGCCGCAGGACCTGTTCTTCCGGCTCCTCAAGATGGTCGACGCCTCCCTCTCATTCGCTTCGAAACACACATCCGAATGGATATCGACGTAAGTGAACCATCGACACATTGAAAGCACAGCACAACGCTGGCAGACAGACACTGCATCTGCGTGTGTGTTGTCCTGGTTTGTCTGTCTGCTTTGCTCTGTCTGTATGTGTCTCATCAGCCACATGAAGCTGTACACGATCTTCCAGCACATGACCTTCTCAGAGCCCATCCTCAAGTCACAACTACTGGTCAGTCATCGCCCATGCCCCCTCCCCTCCCCAGCCCAGCAACACACACACACACACACACATCCTCCCTCTCTCTAATTGGATCCAGACGTCGTGGTTCCAGTACCTGATTGCCAACAGCAGGATCCGCTATTCCCTCTCTGAGCTGCAGGACCGGCCGGAGGACTACTTCTTTGGCGACGGCGGTGCTCCCTCCCCCTCCAACAGGCCGCCTCCCCACAAGGCCTCCGCCATGGGGGACACACACCCACACCAACACACACACACGGCAGACACCACACCCCGCGAAGCTCACAGGGACAAGAAGCCATCATTCAGCCCCACAGCAGCGGCAGGAGCAGCAGCAGGGAGGGATGCTGGCAAGGACAAGGAGAAGGCCGACGTGACGCCACGCAGCAAGGAGCCCAGCCCCCGAGCAGCAGCAGCAGCAGCAGCAGCACAGGGGGCCGCACCACAGACAGAGAAGAAGCCTCCTGAGGATGCGGCGGGCAAGAGGAAGGACAAGCCGGCTGCAGCTGCTGCAGCTGCAGCTGCCGCCGCCGGTTCGTGGGCGCAGCTGGTGAGCGGAGCGGGGGCGGGGGCTGGTGCAGGGGAGTCGCCCGCAGCCAAGAGGGGTGCCGATGACAAGAGCGAGGAGAAGGCGCCGGCTGCCACTGCTACAGCTACAGCCACAGCGCAGCCAGAGACGGCCACAAAGCAGCAGCAGCCGCACCCGCAGCAGCAGGAGGATAAGAAGGCGGATACAAAGAAGAAGGATAAGGAGCCACCGGCCGCTGTCACACCCTCATTGTCGGTGGCGGCCGAGCAGTCCCCGACGGCCGGGCCGCCAACAGGTGGGAAACATGCATGGATGGATGGATGGATTGAAGCAACAACTGTTGTGTCGGTGACACACAGAGTGGTGTGTGTGTGTGTGTGTGTGTTGTATGCAGGCGTGATCGATTTCGAGGTGACTGACTGGAATACGATGCTGCTAAATGGCCCGCTGCCGGGCGCAGTCGACCTCGAGAGCCGCGACTATAGGAGACCGAATGGTGCGTCAGCCAGCCGGCGACATCCCTGGGTGGCTGGAGAGAGGGGGACATATTGTATGTTGTGATGCGTGATGTGTGTTGTGTGCAGAGTACACCCACTCTCTGAACTACGTGCTGTCGTCGGCCCTCAAGTTCTGGCGCATATGCGAATACCACATGGTCGGTCAGACACGCAGCAAGACACTGGGCTGTGCTGCCCGTATCTGTGCGGCTCCCTCCCTCCCTCCCTCTGTCTGTCTGTCTGTCTGTCTCAACGAACGGATGTGTGTGTGCAGGTGTCCAGGGCGGTCAAGGTGGATGACGCTGCCCAGCAGGGCATCTGGACCGCACTCGACACCACGCCGTACGCACAAACACTCACGCACACCCCATCCCACAACAACACATGCCTTGTGTGTCACTCACTACATCAGGATGAGGCGTGCCCCCCACCCCAAGCAGGACCGCTGTCTCACCGTGTGGACCCTCACTGCCATGTGGGGCAACTCCAAACAGGTCTGTCAGCTCACAGCACACTAAACAGGTCTGGCAGCGCCCACAGGCGACACACGTGTGTGTGTGTGTGTGTGGATGTGTGTGTGTGTCATGTCTGTCATGCAGTCGATGGCCGTGGTGACCCCGTGGAGCCGGCCTGTAATGGAGAGTCTGGTGACACTCATCAACGAAAGCCTCAAAGAAATGGACGCCAAATACAAGTATGTCAGCCACACACACAGACACACCACACCCATGGGCAGTGCAGACACCGATGGATGGATGGATGGGTGTCCCCTGTCTGTCTGATGGTGTGTTGTTCCCCACTACCTGACCTGCCTCACGCAGATCGTCGCGCGAGCCTCTGAGGGACGGCGGCCCCGAGAAGGGCGATCTTGCCAGGGCATTCTTCAAACCCGTCGTCACCAAATCCAGCCTCATGGTATGATCTGCGGGCACAGGCACCCACACTGCACCACACCACACCACACCACAGATTCCCTCCTGCGTGCGCGGCCTCACTCGCCCATCAGACGTCGTGGCTGCGGTTCGTGCTGTCGACTGGCTACGGCGATGGTCGCTATCTGGAGCTGGAGAGCATCCCGGTGCGGCTCGAGCAGCGCGACAAGGCGACCATCGCAGACTACCGCACCTATCGGGTATGGTACGAGCGCACGCAGCGCAACTATCGGCACACACACAGGCATGTGGATGGATGGATGGATGGACCCCTCATTCAGGCGTTCGATGAGTGGCGCAAGCACGTGGGACCGACCGGCCAGGCCAGGGATGACTTTGTCGGCAAAAGACAAAGATAGACAGACACGTAGTTGAGTTGCTTGAGTAAGCTGCCGGCCCCCAGGGGGCGGGCAGTGACTGACTGACTGACTGACCAATCGTTGTAGCGGTTTGCTGTTTGTGCGTGCGTCGTGAGTCTGGCTGCTTGATCTGTCTGTGTGGTGAGAGTGAATAAGGGGCTGGGTGCGGTCATGCAGTGCTTAAAGAGTGAGTGTGGGTCATGCTTAGTGATGCGGCGAGTGACGAGGGGCTTAAGCAGGGTGTGTGTGTGCGTGGGGGGGGGGGGGGGGGGGGGGG